TGAATCTTTGAATCCTGATTCTGAAAAAGATTTCAAAAGGTTTAGAGAACTTAGGTTTCAAACGATTAGAGGAGTTTGGATTCTAAGGGCTACAGATTGGATAATCGTAAGATTTCAAGATTTTAAATAATTTTTGGTTTTAAGATTTTACTGGTTTCAAATTCTGTGATTCCATGATTTCAAACATTTCCAGATCTTAATGTTTTATGGTCTTAATACCCTATTTCTGAGATGCTAGAATTGGGAGATATCCCAAAGCGATGGAAAGATTCTCTGGTCCAGAGACCAGATGGAGGATTTCCAAGATTAATCCAAGCTTCTGGTTGGCAAAGATTCTGAGATTCCAAAAGTCCACAATTTAATGTTGTTCAAAGACTTAAGTCCCTGAAAGTCCTTGATTCCAGGATTCAAGGTTTAACAGATCCTGTGATGTTACAGTCTGCAGATTTAAGCTTCTGCGCTTTCAGAAAACAGATGCCACCCACCTCCTGCCCCTCAGGCAGCCTCCCCCCAGCGGGGGGTACGTGTTTGGGAGAGGGAGGGGGTGGGGTTCCCCCAGAGCTGACTTTGGCCTCTTTTACTGCGTCCCACCCTAGGCACAACGACAACAAGAGCTTCCTGGTGTGGGTGAACGAGGAGGACCACCTCCGGGTCATCTCTATGGAGAAGGGGGGCAACATGAAGGAGGTTTTCCGCCGCTTCTGCGTGGGGCTGCAGAAGGTGGGTGTCTGCCCCTCGCTGTTGGCTTCGGACTCCACGCTGGACGCCCCGCCCCTCAGATCCCGCCCCGTCCACTTCCCAAGCCCCGCCCCTGGACCCGGCTCCACCCCTATGCCCAAGCCCCACCCCTCAGAGCCCGCCCACCCACTTCCCAAGGCCCCGCCCCTGGACCCGGCTCCACCCCTACACCCAAGCCGCGCCCTTAACCCGACTTTGACGAGTCCTGAAGCCCCGCCCCCTCAGAACCCTGTCTCCACTCACGTCCGCATGCCCTGTCTCTCCGAGCCTTACCTCTTTGAGCCCTGCCCAAGCCACGAGTGTATTTGGGGGTGCCTGCTGGCGCTGACCCCTGGTCCTCTTCCCCTGACTTCAGATCGAGGAGATCTTTAAGAAAGCCGGCCACCCCTTCATGTGGAACGAGCACCTGGGCTATGTGCTCACCTGCCCGTCCAACCTGGGCACCGGGCTGCGCGGAGGCGTGCATGTGAAGCTGGCGCACCTGAGCAAGCACCCCAAGTTCGAGGAGATTCTCACCCGTCTGCGCCTGCAGAAGCGGGGCACAGGTGCGGCTCCTACGTTCCCGGCACCGCGGCGTCTGGGGCCCGCCCTTTGCGGGGGCGGAAGGGAGGGGGGGCATCCCCGTGAATGCCGAGGGTCGGCAAGGACTGCCCCTCCGTCAGCCTCAGTTTCTTCCTCTGTAAAATGGGCGTCCGCTCGTCTATCTCGTAGGAGTCAGTACGATATCTTCATGATTATATAACGAGCATTGCATATGCCCCCGGAGCTACCCCAGGGCCTCAGTTTCCCCATTGGTAAAGTGGGGGGTGGTGGTCGGGATTGGACCCTAGGAAGCGCTGCTCCAGAGCCCGCTCTCTTGCCCACTACGCTATATTTTCCTGTTGGATGGTTGAGGGGGCGACGTACGGTACCTAAAGACGGAGACGTGAGCCCACGAAGCTCTGCGTGCGGGTAACCTGTTACACAGTTGGCACCCAATACATGCAGCTGCTGCATTTGGCACGGGGACCAGGCCCCTCCGCCTCTGCTCTTTCCTGACGCCCCTGTCCCCTGCTCCCGCAGGTGGTGTGGACACAGCTGCCGTGGGCTCCGTGTTCGACGTGTCCAACGCCGACCGGCTGGGCTCATCCGAGGTAGAGCAGGTGCAGCTGGTGGTGGACGGTGTGAAGCTCATGGTGGAGATGGAGAAGAAGCTGGAGAAAGGCCAGTCCATCGACGACATGATCCCCGCCCAGAAGTAGGCGCGCTGCCCGCCCGCCACCGACTGCTGCAGCCGCAGCCAGTGGGAGGACCTGGCCCACCGGAGGCTGCCCCTTCACCTCTGGCCTCGCCCCTTGCCTCGGAGTCCCACCGATAACGGTTGTGTCACCTGGGGGCTCTATCCACCCCTCTCGGAGTTCCAGTTCCGACGGACTCCACCCTCTGGGGTCTGGCTAATGAAAAACCTCCCTGACCATGTCCCCTACTGGTCCCAGAGCTCTGCCCACCACCATCAGGAACTCTCGCTGACTGAGAGCTCCCAGAACACCCGGAGCTCGTGCTTTGTCTCAACGCAAAGCAATAAATAAAAGCAATGGTGGCCTTAGCCTTGTGTCTGATAGTTACTGGGGAAAAGGAGGAGGGACTTTTGCAATTGGCCACCACGTGGCCTCGAAGTGGTTCGCCCTATCTGGGCATGTACTAGGAGTGTTTTATTCCATCTCTAAAACGAGGCAAAGTTAAGGGACAGACGAGTCCCTTAATCCACAAATTTTAAAGCTCTATAGGGAATCCGAGACCCAAAGAGGTGTGGCCCAGTGTCACATAGCCGAGCATGGCCCTTGCTTTCCAACCCAGCTCCCATCAGTCATGCTCAGATCTCAAACAGGGTCCACCCTGGGGAGAAACGCAGGGCAAACAAAATGTTCGAGGCTTGCACCTAGCCCACGGGCCTCCAGTTTGAGACCTCCCATGCGTTACATCACATCTGCCCTTCCGGTTCTCACTGGCCTCCTGTCCAGCCTGACTTCATCCCTCTACAGCTGCTACCAGTCTTTCAAACTTCCCTTACTTTGCTCAAGAACCTGCCATGGCTCCCTGTATCTCCTTGGGGCAATTAATCGCAATAAATCCTATTATTATTTGTGATTCTTCAAGGTCACAGTGAAATACATACCATTTGCTGAAGGTTCATCTTTCCGGTTCTCTCCATCACTTCTCTGACTTTTTTTTTTGCTGCTCACACCCTCCAATTCCCACCTCAATGTCTGCCCGAGCTGTTTCCTTCTCCAGTCTGGGGCCTGGGTCAGAGCATCCATGGTCTTTAGGGAAAGGCATTTTGCAGAACTTGGTCCCAGCAAGGAACAAGGGAGAGCAATTGGGGGAGGGAGAGGAGTAGGTGACAGAAGTCAAGAAGCATCTGAACACATGTTGGGGGCTGGGCACGTCAATCACCTCCACTCAGCCAAACGGGCCAAGGTCCCCATTGGCAAGGACATAGTCAGTGGCCCAAAAGGCGGCAAAGGGTTCAGAAAAAACTGTGAGACACAGCAAATGGCAGACAGAGCCCTTGGGAACCCAGAAGAGGCACTTTTTCAAATCTTAAGAGTCACAGAAGTTAAGGGCCCTTGGAGTTCAACAGATCCACCCTCTGCTTTAAGGAGGGGAATCTGAGGCCCAGAGATGTCTCCAAGAGTTCCCAGGGAGAATACCAAAACAGGAAGATTAGAAGAGACCCCAAAGATCAAGGCATGCAGGACCTGTGAGACACTGGGATGACCTTTACAATACTGGCCCCAATTGAAGATGCCATCAATAATCCCAGCTTCACACCCAGAGGCCACACAGACCACAAACACTCCGGTGGAGACAGTCTGAGCCAGCCGGATTAGCAGACTAGACACCTGTCAGTTGCCACATCCTGCCCATTTGGCCTCATGATACTCTTAAATCCATCCCTTCTCTCCCCGCCTCTCCCACTCCGACCTCCTCCCTAACCTGTCACCTGCCCTCGCTGCCTCCCACCCACCCTGCACACAGCACAAGCCTGCCTTTCTCTCCCCTGCTCATAACCTCGCCATGGCTCCCCAGTGCCCTCAGAAGTCCAAGCCCTTCTCTACAACCTTCAAGGTCCTGCCGACATGTCTAGCCTCGTCACTTGCAGTGACTCGCCCTCAACCACGTGCCATTTGCTGAAGAACCTGTACTCTCTCTCGCTTCCCAGCTGTTGCATGCAAGCCCTTCCCAGCGGGAGCAGGCACCCGCCTGGACTTTCCTATACCAGCCCTGCCCACTCGGGTTGTCACTGAGGACACCTCTGCCTCCTCCACTGGACTGTGAGTTTTGTGAAGGCTGGAGCTGTTTTCATTACTACCGAGTTCCCAGTACAGAGGATGCCCAGATTTCTTTCCTGTACAAAACCCTCCATTGCTCCCCAGAACCTTAGGGGAAAGTCCAGATTGCTCATTTTGGCCCTGAAGGCCCTATGTGAACAAGCCCCACCCATCTGTACTGCACAGCCTTCAACCTCTTACGTCTGCTGAGCTCCTGTGTCCCTTCTCTTGTTCACGACACCTGACTTTCCTCTGGGGAAACCCATCTACGTCCAGCTCTAGGTATGAGCCTGGCCACTCTAGAGTCACAGTGATTGGTTCAGAGGTGACCACATGACTTATCTGGGCGAATCAGAGCCTGCCTTGGGACTTTTGCTGTGAAGTTAGCAATGAGGATCTTTTTGCTGCAGGAACGAAGCTGGAGGGACAGAAACCTGTAACTGCTAGGGATCCCTTTGCCATCAGGAAAAGAGTGCCTACTAGATAAAAAATCACTGGAATTAAATTTACACTGAAAGAGAGAAGAGATGGCCTAATGCCTGGCTCCAACCATACCTGAAGTCAGGCACTCGTGGGCTGTTAAGTAATATAAACCAACAAATACCTTTTTGCTTAGTCCTAATACAGCATTTCTCTTGCTAATTCTCCACACATGCCCAGCACAGCAGCCACCGTGAAATCACACACAATTCTCTGAAGACATAGCAGGCACTCCCACTTCTGGGCTTTTTTTTTTTTTGCCCAGGGTATACCCAATACCTGGTCAACTCCTATTCATCCTTCAAAGCCCAACTCCAGCATTAGTTCCTCCGGAGCATCTTTCCCATCCCTCACCCCCACTTTTCCTTCCAGGTTCCCCAAGACAAATGGTTTCTCTAGTGTTTGTGTCAGAACCCCTGTCCCCCAGACGGGGCTCCTCGTGTCTCCATGTCCAGCACTGGGCTCGGTGCAGAGTAGGCACTGGTCAATGACTGTTTATTGAATAAGGTACTATTGGAGTAAGAAGTGGTTTAGAGTCCAGTGTAACACGGCGGGCGGGAGTGGATGAGGCCGAGTTCTGTCCCGCCCTCTGCCACGACCATCCTTGACCCACACACCCCCACTACTCCCATTCTGCGGATGGGAAAAACGAGGCTCAGAAAGGAGAAACCACTGGCCCAAAGTCACACACCTCCTCTTCGACTCACTTGCAGGTGAGGGCAGGGAAGGAAAACCCCAGGGTCAGCGTGGGGGGGACGCTCCTAAGTTTATTGGGCAATCGGCTGCAGGTGAGGGGCTGACGGGAGGGTGGGGTGTAATAACTTAAAAACCGGAGGTGACAGCGGCGGCTCCTCAAGAGACCTCTGCATGGGGGAGGGTGTGGGGGTATTTACAAGGATTTGTACAAAGTGCCCCGCGCCAGCCTGGGGCAGGAAGGGGGTTCGAGCATGAGGGGAGGGGAGGGGAAGGAATCTGCCTCTCTGACCCCCGCTCCCAGCCCCCACCCCGTTCTCCAGTCCGTGGGCTCAGCAGCTCTCCCTGTCCCTGCCCAAGGCCGCATCCTTGAGCTGTTGGGAGGAATGGAAGAATTTTCTCAGTTTCCCTTCCTGCCCCTGTCCTGCCCTGCCCCCAAAGTCTCCTCAGGTGCCCCTGTGGCAGGGTGAGGGGGGACAGGACCGGCTGGAGGCTCCAGGAAGGTGCCAGCTCCCCCCACTAAGTCCCCTCCTCCTTCCCCAGTGCCCAGTGGCCCCAAAGAACAGCAGAGGGGACAATCTCTGCCCCCAAATCTAATTCAGGGAAACTGAGGTGATGACGAAGGGAGAATCCCCTCCCTGCCCCCTCGCCCCTCCTGTAGAAGTGAAGGGGACAAGCGAGAGAAGAGAAAGGGACCCAGGCCGTGGTGGCTCAGAGCTCGAGGTCATTGGAGATGCGGGTGACGAGGGTGCGGAAGGCCAGGGCGGTGCCCGCCACACGGCGGAAGAGAACCCCGCGCAGGCCCGGCCGGGGCAGCTGGCAGACCTCCACTTCGAAGTGGGACAGGGGCTCGGGCCCGCCCGCACCCCCGTGCAGGCAGGCCAGCAGGAACGGCTGTGGCTGGCGGCAGCGGCAGCGGGCGGCCGCTGTGGCCTGGCGGAGAGCTGCCATCAGGGCCTCGGGAGGGCGCGAGCTGGTCAGCTTCACACTCCAGGGGAATCGGAGCAGCCGGGGGGCGGTTTCCGTTTGATCCCAAGGTAGATGGCAACTGAGGTGGGAAGACATCAGAGGTCAGAGATGGGGAGAAGAGGAAGGCAGATGGAGGACCGAGGGGACAGTTCTTCCCACTTTGGGACAGACTCCTGGCTCTCGCCTCGAAAACCATTCTCCCCCTTTTAACCCAGTGACAGAGTTTCAGCTGGGCATACAGCTGTCCAACTGGGGACCTCATTTCCCGGCCTCCCTGACAGCCAGGGTGGCCCTGTCTTTCAACTGTGGCATGAGAGTGGAAGCGAGGTGTGCGGGGCCACATCACCCCCCTCAAAGGAGACCCGCACCCCGGGCTCCCCCGCCCCACCTCCTGCCAGCCGGGCTCCGCAGCGGCGCGAAGGCTCGACGGCCAAGATGACAACAGGGCTCTAAAGCATGGAGACGGAAAAACCCGGGGACCTGAATGGCCTCATGCAACAGGGTGGCCCTAGCAGCCTGGCTTGGCCACATGGCTTGTGAGAGAGAGAAATTTATTCTATCTGTATTTCCAGATCTCTTTACAGCAGCTGAGCCCGTTTCCTAATACATCCTCCTGGTAATGACGACCACCTCCCCCTCCGGGGAACCAACCTCCCTCATTGCAGACCAGGCATTCTTTTTTTTTTTTTTGGAAGACAGAGTCTTACTCTTTTGCCCGGGCTAGAGTGAGTGCCGTGGCGTCAGCCTAGCTCACAGCAACCTCACACTCCTGGGCTCAAGCGATCCTCCTGCCTCAGCCTCCCAAGTAGCTGGGACTACAGGCA